AGGTTGAGTTTTCCCCTGCTGTTTCCTCTTCCTTCCCCGACCACAGCTAAGCCACGTACTCTCTTCTCTGGACCCCTGACAGCCCATGTCCACTAGTCATTTGACCAGTCAACGTGTAGTCTGTTGACTAACTGGCTAATTGACGATGCACAGATACATGGACGTCCCCCCCACCCCCAGAGCTCACCTCCGTAGTCACTCGCCAAAGGTGTAATGCAGAACGGGCTGGTTAGAAGGAGGGTGCCCTGTAAAGATCTACAAAGAAGGAAGCAGAAAGTAGGGCGCCCTACTCCTTATAAACATCAAATGGTTAAAGAGGCAAAACAATGTCTCTCTATAGAAGTGATGTGTGTGTGTGTGTGTGTGTGTGTGTGTCCCAGTGTTTATTCAACAAGCACTTCCCTCTGATTCCCTGAAGCCATCTTCAAGTGTTATTTGCTCAAAATTGATTACAAAAATTACCTCTTTTCATCTGTGGCCCTCAAAACTCAGCCCAAACTATGAGCTGTTCTCTAGTCTTAAAAAATGCCCAGCTCTGCTTGCCATTGTTAGACTACATGCATTTGCTTTTGCTAACTAAAATCTAATGACTTCAAACAGTCGTGATGCTGTAGGTTGCCAGTTTGGGCTAGGTTCAGCCGGTGGTTCTTTTGGTTTTAGCTGGGCTAATTCACACTCTGTAGTCGGCTGCTGGATTGCCTGGGGGATGCTGGGCTAGGAAGTCCCGGATGGGAAAGCTTGTCTCTTATCCATGTGGTCTCCAGCCTCCAACGGGCTCCCCTGGGCCTGGAGGCTCCACAGGGTTCCAGGAGAGAGAAAGCAGAAGTCAGCAAAGCTCTTGAGGTCTGTCCTCAGAAATGGCACATAATTACTTCTGCCACATTCTACCAGCCAAGTCACAAGACCAGCCTAACTGCCAGGGGTGGAGAAATAAAATCACCTCTCGATGAGAGGACTGCAAAGTTACATTGCAGAAGAGGTGGTTACAGAGAGGGGAAAGATTGTGGCCACTTTTGCAATCCAGCTAGGACTGCCAGCTAACATATGAGACACCCAGTTAATGGAGAATTTTTTAGTATAGCTATGTCCCATGCCATATTTAGGACATGTCTCTACTAAAAAATTATCCTTTGTTTATCTGGAATTGAAATTTTACATGATGTCCTGTATTTTTATTTACTATCTGGCAACCGTACACACAGATCATGTCAAGAGTAAAAAAAAAATTTTTTGTTTATCTGAAAGAGAGAAAGAACTTCGAACTTGAAATTACTTTTACAGTGGGCCAAATATTGTGTTAGCACGAGCCAAGAGCTCTAAGTATACCCACAGGAAAGGAGTAACTCGGCCCCTCTCCTAGTCTAGGAACCGTCTCAGCTTAACACTGGTATTAAATAACCCTAAAATAATATAGAACAGAGTCTGTTTCACTTCAGTTACTCATCAGATAAAAAAAAATGCTTCACAGAACAGTAACAAGAGAAGGGTCTACACTTTCCGTAATTTGGACCTCTTCCAGACTTAATGATAACTCTTTTACCTTCCTAGGAGGCATTTTAAAAATCTTTGGAAGATATTAATCATTACGCTGTCCTGGAATTTACTGTATCTAATCAGACCAAGGATACTTGAAATTCATGTTTTAAGTACCTTCCCCATACACTGTGGTAAAATTTGATGTTTTCCTCTAAGAGTTTTTACGACTGGCTTGTATTTTTCCTACTATAACTTTTGTGACTGGAATTGACAGAGCAAAGGTCAGGTAAATGTGCTTCATTAAACAGTACAACCTGACACTTCTAGACGATTCCTCCCTCTGATGAGGAAAGGGAAGCAGTGAGAGGTCGCAACCGCTCTCCTGTCCCTTGGCCCCCCCCCCGGCCATGCCCGCCCGCTGCACGCCGTGATTCCGCTGTGAGTTTACGAGGACGCTCTGCGCTGGGACTCCTGTGTAACACGGCATTCAGGACACAGTGCTTGCCGAGAGCTATTACCCAGGCTCATGGCGTGGCTTCTCGCACCCAGCTTTAAATAAATCAGTCGTTGTTGCTTATTCCAGAATCTCAGACCTGAGAGGGAATTTGGAGATTCCTACTCCATGCCCCCATTACACAAAACACAAAATCCCAAATCCCTGCGTCCAGGACCATGCCAAGCACGATGAACGACAAAGGTGATGGTCTTGCTACACGCAAGGGTCTGGCAACACCGGGGTCTGTGTCGTCACTAGGGGGGAGCCAGGTTGGGACCATTAAGGACCTGATGAGATGACAGGGGGCTAACAGATGATTTGATGCGGAGGCAGGGCTGTGGCAGGAAAAGTCCAGAATTCAGAAACTGACTAGGAATAAGAACTCAGCAAGTGTGTCATCCAACAGCCGAGTCTCTGCCTGAAGGTGGCCACCACCACCTCCCTCATCAGGGCCTCCCCAAGACAAAGCCATTGTGGCCACACCCAAGTCTGACACAGCGTCCCACCCATCTGTCCCAAAATGCAAAGACCTCCAGTTTTTCAAAACCACAACTCTGATCACATCATTCCTTTGCTTAAACCCATTCAGTGACATCCCATTATTTTTAGCCTAGGTACACACTCCCCTGATGCCCCAGATGGCCCCTTAGAATGCAAGACCCACCAACCCCTCCACCCCATCTCTCCACTCTTGCCTGACCACTTGCCTGCTCACACTTTGTAATCCAGCAGACTTAAATGTCTTTCCATTCCTAAAACATTCAACTCCATATTTGCTGTTGACTTGACAGCATTTATGAAGGTGTGAACTTTCTTCACCCAGTGAACTTTCAGGTCTCAGCTTAAACGGACCTCCTCAGGAAAGTGCCTCTCGACAGCTAGATGGTCAGGTCTCCCCCACAATATATATATTATCTCATGTCTCTACGATTATTCATTTACTATTTCCTTACTCCCCCAGCCCATTATTTCTATGAAGGCAGCAACTGGTTGCCTAGGTGACCACTGTATCCCCAAGGCTCTGTCCAATGACTACATTGTAATGGAAGCATCTTTTTTAATGTCAGGTGGGTAAACTCTCCTGTTTAACACAACTATTAGGATTTGAGCGCCATGTCTCAGTGCACTATCTAACTAAGCTGAGAACCTGCCCCTTACTGCACCCTGAGGAGTATCTTGAATGTATTCAATATCTTTGACATGAATAAATCCCATAAAATAACCCCCCACCCCAGTGTTTAATTCAGTAAAATATGGAATACAGGTCACTTCAAATACTATATTCACTTTATTTCTAACTTTTCAACTGGTAACATTTAGAGAAAGAATAAAAACCAAAAAAAGGAATTATTGTATCACATCAAGAAATAATTTTATCCAAAGGGAATTCAAGTGGAAGATACATTTAACATCAATTCATACATTAGTAACATACACTTATTATCAAGTATGACATCCGGACAAGCAAAAATCAGTCTCTCGTGACCTCAACCAAACTTCCGGCTGACCTGATGAGTCACTCCCCTGACTATCCACCACACACAGAAAGAGACGAGGAGAAACTTACTGAGGATGACTTCCCAGAAAATTTACAAAATGAAAATGGCAAAGCAGGTCAAATAAAGCGTTAAGCAGTGAGGGGGCCCTAAATTTACTCTGGAAAGGCTGCTTGAGGCACTACCCAAGTGGACAGCTGTAAATCCCTGCTCTGACTTTAAATTTTTACGATTTAAAAATTTTCAATTCTAAGCACAAGGCGACACGACAGTGCTAACTGGTATACTATCTTCTCAGTTCAGGCAGATGCAAGAAACTTTACGTCTATCCAGGGCACCGTCACCCCCACTGCATGTCTGTAGTATATCTGTTCATATGAGGTGTGAAAGTCAACTTGTTATTTTTTCTCTAAATACATTTTAAGAACTAATGGCACTTAAGATACCACTCATATGTGGAATCTAAAAAAAAAAAAAGGAAAAAGAAAAAAGAGGACACTAATGAGCTCATCTACAAAACAGAAACAGACTTGCATACATAGTAAACAATCTTATGGTTATAGGGGAAAGGGGGTGGGAAGGGATAAATTTGGGAGTCTCAGATTTGCAAATTTAACCACTATGTATAAAAATAGATAAAAAACAAATTTCTTCTGTATGGCACAGGTAACTATACTCAATATCTTGAAACAACTTTTAATGAAAAAGAGTATGAAAACAAATATATGTGTATATGCATGCATATATATATATGCATGACTGGGACAGTGTGCTGTACGCCAGAAATCAACACATTGTAACTGACTGTACTTCAATAAAAAAAAAGAAAAAAGAAAAAGAACTAACAGCACTTGAATGAAAGCCGACATAATAGGGAAAAGGGCTATTTTAATATAAAACAATATTAAACCAGTATGTGATGAGGTGAAACGTTGAAATTGTAAGAATTTTATAAAAACGGTAATTTAGAAACTGTAAACGCTTTGATTCAAAACTGCAGAAAGGTTATCAGCGACCCTAATTTGCTGGAATCGTGGTCCTTATGAATAACAGCATCTCCTGATGACCCAGGTCAAGACTGAATAATACAAAAGCAATTTTCAAAAGGGAACAATTTTGGTTAAAATCAGAACAGAAAATTTTGAAGACCAAATCATCAATGGGACAGTGGTGTCAGCAGCACTGTTATGTGGCCGATGAGAACCATGAGTGCGCGTGACCAGCGCTTCCCAGGGGTCCTGTGCAGGGGACTCCAGCGCCACCAGGATCTGGTCAAGGAGAGTGGGGAGGAGGCCTGGAGAGCAGGGCTCTGGACCGCGCCCCAGCTTCAAACAGGAGACCTTCTATCTGTTTTACCACAGACTGAGAATATAGTAAACCAGTTTGTTAAAGGCTTCATGTGTTTAAAAAGAAAATTCTGAAAACAACAGCAACATACATATGCTGTTTCTAAGCACGGAAAGAGAATTGCAACCAGAAAATCTTAGACAAGAAAGGCTCAGACCAGGGGAAGACGCACCAGTTCTTTTTTCTCCCCTAACTGATGTCAAAGGGACGTGTCAACTAAGGAGACATGCTACAGGGTAACAGACTGCTCATTAATGCCTTCAGGTCAACAGCACACACCCAGGGGCCAGCCGGCCGAGCGGGAGGGTGGTAACGGCTCACCTGGACGAGGCAACCACGATGGCAAGCAGGTCCCCCTCTCCTCAGCCTGACCTTGGCAATGAGCTGTTTCCGAGAAGCCAAGAGCTGCTCACGGCTGAGAGCTCACGTCTTTCAGAAATTTCAGGGAACAAAAGACATGAGCTGTGGTGCATGTTTTCAACAACAGTGACAGGAATGAATGGCACAGGGTGGATCCACTGAAGGATGTGTGATGAACACACAGTTGCGAATGTTAAAGATGAGTGGCCACTATACGGATATGCACAGTACTTAGTGCACAGGTCCTCAGTAAGACGTTATTGAATCTATTCTGAACATGTAACACTTGCTAAGAATTACGTTCTAAAGGTAAAAATTAGGAAAAAAATTCTACTCTAATAAAAAGCATGTAACAACCACTCCATCCTATGCAACAGTTGGATTTTTTGTTTCTAATTACAACAGGTTTTACGCTTAATACAAAATATTCTGGGCTTAGGAAATAGCACATTATTAAAATGTCAAATGGGATTTTAATTAATAACCACTATCATGAGTTTAAAAAATCAGACTAAAAGTGTTACCGAAAAAAAAAAAGAAAAAAAGGAGAGAATATCTTAATGAATTTATACAAGTATACAAATCAATATATGGGATCTTAGCAAGGAAAGTAAAAAAAAATTTTTTTTTAATAACTAAGACTTTCATTAGTTTTAAGGAAATGGAATTCTGAATTTCTCCTTCTGTTTTGTCCTTACAGCTTTCCTAGACAAAGCAGGGCTGACCATTTTGACAAACTCCAATTAAAATAAGGTAACAACGCTCAATCTAGGACAATCTGTCATCTCTGCAGAAAAAGAATCCTGAGTGTCTCATACAGGCAGGGAAGAGTTTGCATCTGACCATGTTTATAGTATTCCATAATGAAAATAAAAGATCTAGGAAGGGAAATAAAAAGGGCTTACTTACATGAGGCTCTTTTTACGTGATGATTGTACAATTTTAAGAACTGAATGTATGCCTTCCCTTCTCATAGTATTTTTCATGAAGTCCTGTAGGAATGCATGCTGCGTTGAACTATGCATGTCTGAACTGCAGCAAAATTCAGGTACAAGTGAAGTTAGTTCTATCCCATGGAAAAGCACTAAATATAGTTATAGGAACAAATTCAATATCATCTAATTTAATTCAGTTTTTTGGGGGGGAGGGGGGAGGTAATTAGGTTTATTGATCATTATTATTTTTTTAATGGAGGCACCGGGGATTGAACCCAGGACCTCATGCATGCCAAACACACACTCTACCACTAAGCTATATCTTCCCCTCTAACACTATCTAATTCAAGAAGCTCTTGTCATCAGCTATGAACATTGGCTTATAAAACATTTATTGCCTGGAGCAAACAGTGTATACCCATCTGTAAATCCCATCATTCTAACAATTTGCGATTCTTTCAATTAACATATACTCAAAAACACCATTTTCATCCTATGAAAGCAAACAACCACCACGACAAAATCTGCTTTTCTCACACTGGTTCCTGAGCAAACAGCCTCACCGCAATTACTAGCAATCACTGAATTGACTGGGCAAAGATTAACTTAGCACTTTCCTCCCCAAAAAGCATAAAAAGAATAATCCACAGAACCAGGTTTATATCCTAAATGCTGGGGTTGGGGAAAACCAGGCAAAATGACAGATTCATGATCTGGTGTCAGAGAGGAAGCCGTCGCCCCACACAGCACAGAAGAATCCCGCTGCGGTGACCACAGACCACACAGCTCCTTTCACTGGGCAGCCGGGTTCTTGGGAGGAAGGAGTTTGTATGTGTTGAAGTAACCCACCACCTGCTGGGGGATCTCCGCCAAGACACACTGAGCAAGCGCTTCTTTGGGAGCCTGGGGAGTAATTAAAAGCAAAGTGATTTTATTAGCAACCACGTTTTTACTGCCATTTTGATAAAAGACGAGGAACACATCACCCAAGAGGAAAAAGCAGCACTTCCCGATTCCCGGGCTTGTCTCAGGGACAGTCCGTGAAACATGGAGTTAAACTAACCAGCGTCACCTGGGGGTGCTTTATTATGCTCCCTAACATTTGTCAAGTCCTTTTTTGGTGCCAGCATTTTGACATTCAATGATTTTTTTTTTAACTTTTAAATATGGGTCTTTCATTCACTTGATATTCATTTTTCAAAAACTTTCTATTTGGAAATAATTACAAATTCATAGGAAGTTGCAAAAATAGTACAGAGTTGGGGGAGGGTATAGCTCAGTGGTAAAGTGCATGCTTAGCACGCACGAGGCCCTGGGTTAAATCCCCTGTACCGGTAAAAATAAATAAATAAATAAAAATAAACCTAATTGCAACCCCCAACCTAAAAAAAAAAAAAAAAAAAAAAACCAAAACCAGTACAGAGAGATCCCATGTAACCATCACCGAGTTTCCTCTAGATGTAACATCTTACATAACTATAGTACAGCATCAAAACCAGGGAATGAACATTGACACAGTTCACAGGACTAACTCAGATTCCACCAGTTTTTACACACATTCATTTGCGTGTGTGTGTATAGTTCTGTGTAATTTTATCATCTGGTAGATCTGTGTAACCACTGTCACAATCAAGATACAGAACTGCTTCACCGCAAAGACCCCTCATATTACCACATTTTTTAATACACACCCACCCTCTACCTCCCCACCCCACCCTCACTTGGAATATTGGAACATAAAATGGCACAACTGTGCCAGAAAAGTTCAGCAGTTTCTTTAATGATTAAAATGCAACAACCAGACAGCCCAGCAGCTGCACTTCTGCATATTTATCTCAGAGAAACAAAAACACAAAAACCCGCAAACAAATGTTTATAGCAGCTTTGCGTGTAACAGGTGAACACTGGGAACAGCTGAAGATGTCCTTCAGTGGGTGAAAGGTTAAGCAAACTGGTACACCCGCATCAAGGAGTACCCTCAGCGTTAAAAAGGAATGCATTCAATGACTGGGAAGACTCTCCAGAGAATTCAGCTGGGTGGGAAGAAAGCCAGTCTCAAGGTTATACATACTGTATGATTCCATTCACATAACATTCTTTTTTTTTTTCTGGGGTGAGGGAGGTGATTAGGTTTATTCGTTTATTTACTTTTTTTAGAGGAGGTACTGGGGATTGAACCCAGGACCTCATGCATGCTAAGCATGCGTTCTACCACTTTGTGCTACACCCTTCCCCTCCTTCACACAGCATTCTTGAAATGACAACACTACAGAAATGGAGAACATAATAGTGGTTGCCAGGGGTTAAAAAGGAAATGAATGCGGGAGGGAAGCAGGTGTGGTTATAAGAGGGCTACAGGAGGGCACCTGCTGTAATGGACCTTGACTGTATCAATGTCAGTGTCCTGGTTACGACTCCGGGCCAGAGTTGTACAAGGTGTTACCGCTGGAGTAAACTGCGTAAAACAGCCTCCCGAGAGATTTTCATCAAATCAATTTCCAGTGTGCTTAATTCATCATATATTTGCATAGAGCTTTTCTGTTGTTACACAGGTGAAGATAAAACATATTTCAAAACATTCACAACAACATCGGTTTTAACAACTTATTGTGTAAGGGTCACACAGTATACAAGCTGAAACAAAACTGCCAAATCTAGTCAAGGGTCTTCAAATGGAAAATTCACATTTTTAACCCCAGTCACCTACTCAGCTGCCTGGTTATGGGAGGGCAAAGGTCTGGGTTCAAATGCCTCCGAGTCCACAGAGAACAGCAGGGAGTGGTACTCACGTTCTGGAACTGCCGGAAAGGCACAAACTGGACGATGTCCCTGATGGCTACCTCGCCGGATGGGGAGCGGAGACTTCCGCCATCGCCATCCAGAAACTCCATGGCACTGAAGTCGGCACCTCCAACTCCAACAATGATGATGGACATTGGCAGCTTGGCAGCATTAACAATGGCTTGTCTGGTCTCATCCAGGTCTGTGATCACGCCATCGGTAATGATTAAGAGCACAAAATATTGCTGCCGGAAGAGAAGATTATGTCCACTGAGCAGGCTGAGCTCCCAAACAATAAAAGCAATGGTTAATGACATCTCCAGCTCGATGAGTCATTTAGTCTCTTTCCTGCTCATCTGCCTGGCCAGTCTCTACCCAGGAAACCATCGACAAGAAATTTTCCAAGATTCTCTGGTGACAAGGAAATTTACTGATACAAAAACTGCAGGGTCATCAAAAGTGCAACAGACCACAAAAGAGGGCTGGCATAAATAAGCAGAAGCAAGACACCTAAACGTCAAAGATTAAACTTCCAGTTAGCATGTGAATAAACCCTTTGACGTAACCGAAGTATTAAATATGTCAAAGTAACGATCGAGGGAGCAAGTGGCAACTCCGTTCTAAAAAGATCAAATATGGAAGAAGCAGAATTGTTTATCAAACTAAAATATACTGGAAAAAAGTGAATTTGGTGGGGGGAGGGGGATCTTTCAATCCTGTCATCTCTGATAAATCTTTTTAGAGAGTGATAAAGTGTTACATAAAGTTCTGACTCCATGTTTTGGGCCATTTGAGTCTAAAATGGAAATAAGGTTTATAACAGTAGCTATCACATGATGCGTGTTTTCTCTGACTCAGGCACTGTGCATGTTATGTGAATCACCTCCTCTCACACTTTGGACAACTGTATGAAGTAGTCATTCTTGCCTTATTTAAGAATACTGAAGCTGAGCGAGATGTGGTACCCAAGATCCAACAGGTAATGATTAGCTAAAGCAAGTCTCTTTAGGAAGTAATCTGCAACAGCGACTGAAGGGGTAAGTCTTCTCAAGCCTTAACTTGTAAAATCTACTTCAAAAACATGGACAACAGGCATTTTTTTAAATTTCAAAAGATAGAGAAAATACTCATGAATATAAAGGTTGTTTTGCTGTTGTGTTGTTTTTAATGATCACGAATTTAACGACAAGAGATGTTACTCCCAAGCCAAGCACGACCATGTCATTGCTTCATGCCCTGCCTCTGTATCTTGATGGACAAAATAAATAGAAAAATGGCCCTAGGAGCAACTGCCAATCCACACTCTCCCTGTCCCCTCGCGACAGGGCACTTACCGAAGCCGTCTGTTGTTGTGTGGCTGCAGCTGCAAACCTGGCCACGTGATTTATGATTGGAGAAAAATTCGTTGGTCCATAGAGTTTTATCTGAGGAAGGCAGGCCCGATATGCCTCTACAATGCCTTGGATTCCTAGACCAAAAAAAAAGCAGGATTAAAAATTCTCAAGTACAATTTAACTGTTTACTACTCACCATGCTGGCTAATTTAATTTATATACCAACATACAGTGCTTTAAACAGTCAAAAGTGCCCTATTCAGGGGTTCCTCTAAGGTATGTATTACAGAACCGCATAGCTATATTCCATCACAAAAACCTATAAACTCTACTCACCCCTGGTAGAAGGCATTTGTTTTCATCTCAGCCAAATTATTCACTAGTCTACAGTAGGACTGTTGTATTGCTTAATTTTTTTCACGTGTTCATCAATTTATTTTCTTTTTTTAAACATTTTTTATTGATTTATAATCATTTTACAATGTTGTGTCAAATTGCTTAATTTTGATAGGTTTTGGGAATAAGATTCTGATGGAAAAATAACCATGAACGAGATGCTGCCTCATACGGCTGATGAGAAGAGGTAAGGAAAAGTAACTGATAAAATGGGAAAACTTTTACATACACAGAGGTCCTAAAACCATACCAGATGGCTATAAACTTAACGTTCATTCTAGCCAAGGGTTTACTCAATAACTCACAGGGTAAGCATGGTATCTATGGGAGACTGTTTCAACTCCAAATATTCACTTCCAAGTTATTCATCGCATTTTGCTGCAGAAATACTAATTCGTTTGTTTATTGGGCATGGCTTGGGCTGGGTGTTCTGTAACGGGAGACTGGGCAGGGCCATCTGATTAACTCTGACCAGTTCATACGAATGCACATGCCTAAGAAGATGTCTTGAGAACCACTGCCTGTTTTCACCCATTCTCTTGCTCTTCCCTCTGCCAGGGGAGCAGCATATCCCAGGTGGGGGCTGTGCCTTCAGCCTGAGACCCAGAATGAGAATAAATTGAGCAGAGCAGCTGCCTGCCAACAAGTAAAGGGATTTGTAGAGCGAGCAAGAAATGACCTATTATCACTTTAAGTCACTGAGATTTAGAGATTGTTGATCACAATAGCACGACCATTGGAAAGCTGAACAGCATTCCTGATTAAGGCACTGCTGATAATCTGCCCCTGATACTCAGTGGTGTCTAGAACGTAGCTAAGATACTGAAATCCTACAAAAATTCCCCTCAGTACTTGCTAAGATTTCAAGGAAATCTTAAAAGACTTTTAATGCAAACCAAAACATTTGCTTAAAGAAATGTCCAACAGAACATACATCCACAAAGGAGAGAAATATTTACCAGCTGTAAAAGCTTCTTCACATGACCAACCCTCTATATTAACAATTTAAAAGTGCCAGTAAAAGAGTCCTAAGCACCTTGAATTTAGGAATAAGTGGTCTTACAAAAAACCTGAGAATGCAACTAATTCACACATAGAAGTGATTTTACATGCATGAGGTCAGCAGCTCCAGTAGTAACAAAAGTAATAATACTAACACAGGCCGGCAGGGTCTTACTGAAACGATACACACTGTAGAAAAACTGAGCCCCAAACCACAGCAATAATAGTATTTTCTTCCATTTCTATCATCTAGCTTGCTCTTCAATTGACAGGTATACAAAACTATTAATGAAATATCTTCATAATTTCAATTGCCTTCAGTTTCTCAACTAAAACTGAATAGTGCCGAAATCGTTCCTTTGCACTCAGGAAGAAAGTGAGACGTGTTCTTTCTGGGCAACTGAGTTCAATGATTCATTGGGAAAAGGGGGATTAAATTTCCTTGCCTTAAAATAAGGCTGTATTTTTTTCTGTGTAGTATCTCCCTTGTCTAAAACCAAACTGATTCTTCTTTCCAGACTTTAAAGCAAAAGCGGAAAAGCTGCGCATGGTGGCAGCCCAATGATGGGCTCCTTTTAAATCAACTTCTGAAACGAATTATCCCATGCTATAAGTCATCCAAATTTACTTGCAATAAGTAAAACCCAATTACAACAATTTCCAAAAATTTGTTCCAATATCATCAGCAGCATGAAGCATGTTTCTTTTTTTTCAATTATTAAGTGAACTTTTTATTTTGAGATAATTATAGATTCACATGCAATTATAAGAAATGATACAAAGAGATTCATGGTAAAAGTATTTTGTTTTCCCTAAGGGTAACATCTGACAAAACTCTAGTAGAACATCGCAGCTAGGGTATTGACAATGACGTGGTCAATGTCAATGGACAACCAAGGATCCATCATGTTGCACTTTTAAAGCTATATTCACTTCCCTCTGGCCCCTACCCTTTCCTTAGTAACTTTTGGCATCCACTAATCTGTCATCCTGAAACGTAAAAATATTCCCAGTTTCCTATGGCTAGGGATACAAAAGGTCATAGCCTGCCACTGAAAGTGTATCAGAGAACACCGAATCAGTACGAGAAAAAGAGTTCTGGAAAAAAAAAGAAAAAGGAGAAAATCCTCAAACGAACGACCCTCGACACAAAGCTCATGCTCTTTTACTTTATGAACATTCTGTAGGAAGAGAAAGAAAGAACACCCTCTTCAGTGAAAAATCTACACATTTTATAATTATCAAAAGGACCCTTTGCAGAAAATAAGCTTATTGTCTACAGTTTTATTCCTCTGCCCTATCTCTTTTCCTCCTCCAAACTGTTCAGTCTTATATAATTCTGTGGGAGATTTGGCATTTTACGTTGATGGCTCAGTGGTGTAAAAAGGAAGAGGTACTGGAATATTTCAGAAAGAAAGAAAAAGCGGAAATGAAAACAAATGTCTGACCCCGCTTCCTACACAAAGGTAAGCTACTCTCGGAGCCCGATTCTTTGTTCCTTGAGCCACCCCATCTCCTTGCAGAGCCCTGTATAGCAAGGAATCTGATGGTGGACACTTTCTTTGTAGAGAGTAACTGCTACTCTGAGAAAAGCCTCAGAAAATCCATATACCGAATGAGTCACTGTATTGCAGGTTTATTTTAGAATCAACTTTTATGGGAAAATAAGATGATTCTTCTTATGGATCTACCCTCAAGATTAAGAATTCTTTTGTTCTATTAACCCTCAGGAGGTAGAAGGATTTAGCTTGCAATCTTTATCATCATCATTGTGATTTGCACCACCATCATCTTCACCACGCCAACCACCACCAACTTGGTGTAATTCTACTTTAAACAACAGAAAGTGCAATAATATATATATATATATATGTCACAAAAAGGAACCTACAGAGGAAGTCTGAATAGGTTTAAACCACAGGGGGGAGAAAAGTAACAAAGACTAGTGAGGCTTTCGTTTTAAAATCTTCGTGTTTATTTTTAACTTACCATTACAGTAGGGATTGGATGGATTAAAGTTCATCGGGAATTCATGTGAAACCTGTGAAAAGAGGAAAGGAAGGCTGACGAGGCCACTTTGGCTTTGCTGGGAGGCAAAGCTCTACAATGCGGGTCCCTCTTACCTGCCACTGAGGAGGCACCTGAGCTCCAAATCCAAAAGCTGGAAACATCTTATCACTGGAAAGAAAATTTGAAAACAGCAAATGATGGTTTTTCTCAAAATAGAGTTTTATCTTTATAATAAAACCAATATCAGCTTATTTTTTTCAAATTCAAAACTCTTCAAAAAATATATACAAAAACAAAGATTAGCCACAATAATCACCAGAGAGAACCAATGTTAATATTTGGCAATTCTCATTCTTAGTATTTTTCTGTGCATTGATGGAGAAAAATGTCTCTCTCTATATATTTATTACAGTGGAGTTTATATTCATGTTTTATAACATACTCTTTTCTACCTACATACTGTATGTCATTTCACTGAATAAACATGTAAATGAATCCATAAAGTCCTAAAAAGTACAAGGTATTTCACTCGTTTACAAAAACTCATTTGGCTACAACACCCGACCTCAACAACATGAAATTATTTATAGCCTTTACTTATGCCACTCGATATGAATAGTCATTCCTTTGGTCACTGAAACATGGTGCAAATGCCACATATTACAAAACTCTCACACTTCTGCAGCAAATGTGTGAGTATTTGGCCCCAAAGGTTTACAGATAAAGGATTATGGCCCAAACAAATAACACCATGTGAGTGGCTGCTAAGGACTCCACTGGGTGGAGTTTCCTCCAACTGATGGCCACCCAATGTGCTGCCATTATAAAACACTGCAATGAATGTACTCATTTTTCTACAAAGAATATTTTTATGTTAATTCTTAATTGCATTAAGGATAGAACCTACATTATAAATGTCACAGTATTTTTCCCAGTTGATAGTCTGTCTTTCTTTTTTTGTTTGTTTTTGTTTTAATTTTTTTCCTAAATGGAAGTACTGGGGATTGAACCCAGGACCTTGTGCATGCTAAGCATGCGCTCTACCACTCGAGGTACACGCTCCCGCTTAAGCTATACCCTCCCCGTCAGCCACTTCTGAATCACACCCTAAAAGGGAGAGCACGTGCGCTCTCAGTCCCTTTGTCCTCGCCCCACTGGCTGCAGAGGATGACAATCAGAGCAGCTGCCTCGGCCCCAGGATGGACGCTGTGAGTGGTGGAACCGCCCCTCAGACCTGAACTACTCCCCTCCGGACGTGCAACACGTAAGAGACATTAACCTCTCTTTGGTCCAAACCACTTTGTTTTGGGTCTCCATTTCAGCAGTTTTGTCTACACTCTATACAGAATAGTTTCCTAACATATCCAGGTATGAGTCAGGGATCCACATTCAGTTCCTGTCCAGCTTGACAGCTGTTACAATCCTTTCCCCTAAAATGTCATCCCCATCACATACTGAATTCATATACACTCTGGGGTCTATTTCAAGACAGCTTATTGTTTCTACTGGTCACGTACAAGCTCCATACTCTTAATTAATACATAATATTATACACATGAAACTTATATAATGTTATAAGTCAATAAAAAGTTAAATTATATATACATATATAGCTTTAAAACAACTTTTAATACCTGCTGGAACAAACTCCCCTTCATTTTTTTTCTGAAAAACTTCTTGGCTATTCTGATTCATTTTGCCTTTCAGAAAATTTTAAGAGTCATTTTGCCAGGGTTCCACTGCAATTCTGATCAAAATTAACTAATTCAGAGGCAAATGTTGTATTTTAGACAATTATCACATCTGCTTATCTAGACTCATGGCATGTTTCCATTTAAACAAGCTTCCTTCTTTGTCCCTCAGTACAATTTTGTCATTTTCCATCACTAAAGACCCTAGACCCCTCATTCATTGTCATTTTTTATTATATTATGAATTCTGGTCTTTTACCCACAATAATTTCTTCACTTGGTTATTGCTGGTTGGTAAAAAATCGTTGACTTTTTACTTTACGTTGTATCTGACCACCTTTTGGAACTTTCATTACTTTCTAATATTTTTCACTTGATTCTCTCAGGTTTGAACTCATTCCTCACAGGTCTGCTAGAATTTATGTATGAAACTGTCTTGGCTGGTGCCTTTGTGAAGAGTGGCTCCTTGACCAGCCATTTCTTTCCTTCCACGGTTGCTGGGCTACTCTGGTTCCCTGCCTCTGGGGTCAACTTTGGTCATTTACAGCTTTAAAAAAAAAAAATCCTTTAATCCAGATTTTCCAATGTAATAGCATAAGATGTTACAGAATATTAACATATAATTTTTAATTTTTTTCTGAATTTATGCTTATAATCTCTATCTCATTATTAATAGTCTACACATTTCCTCTTTTTATTGGAGGTCAGTGCTGCCAGAGTTTTTCCTAAATTCTGTTGAACTTGCAAAGACTCATCTCCTCATTTAATTTATTAATTTGGTGTGTGTTTTTTTAAACTTTCCGAGTCATTGCACTCTGTGCTTACAGGAAGCACAGCACAGCACAGCTGTGAGCCAGTCAGCCCAGGCTCAGTTCTGTCATGACCAGTTACCGGCTGAGTGACCCTGGACCACTCACGTTATCCGCTACGTCTCAGTTTTGTCATCTGAAGGTGAAGATGGTAACACTACCTATCTCAGTTAAGTGTGAGGATTAGATGAATATCATATAGAAAGTATTTTAAATTTTCTCTGACATATCGTAGCTAATATGTGCAAAGAATCTCCTATTACTATTATATCTGTATTTTTTCTTCCTATTTTTTAATTTTACTTTGTTGAAAACCTATTTCACTAACAAGCAAATCTTGTTTAAAAATAAAAGCACATAAAGCCAGAAATTTTCCTCTATAAAGACAGAACCATATATATTTCTCCCATTATCTTTTATTTCTAGGTAGTCTGTTGTTACTCTAATCATTAAAGAGCATTAAAGAATTTTTTTTATCTCCTTGTGGTAAATTTCCTTTAGTCATCCTTTTGTTAAGGGGGCAGTCTGAGAATATAAGCCTGTAAACTTTGTACTTTTTATCTGAGTCTGGTTACAATTGTGTTACCTTTGAAATTTTTATTGTATTTCTAGCTATTTTCAATTGAAATACTTTACCACTCTGTTATTAAACATGTCTGTGGTTATATTTTCATTCTGGATTATATAACAAAGTGTCTTATAAAGTAATTTTTAAATTAGATTTAGTAAGTTTTGCCTGAAATTGTACTAGGCTGATATTGGAACTGACTCCTTTGCTTAAGATTTGCTTGCATTTGCCTGAAAACTTCATCTTTTTAAATGTCATAACAAATTCATGAAAAGTTCCATCAATATGGAACGTGTCAACTAAGGAGACATGCTCCTTATTTTTTATCATAAAATAACAGGCAAAAATAAGTGAAAACTGTGCCTTAACAGATCCAGAACAAAAAATTACTAATGTGGATTGTTTTTCCTATTGTTCAGTAAACCTTCAAGGGGACCTATTTAAAGTCTACCAAAATCTATCCATTGAGAATCTTTCCAAAATATTTTACAGCAATTTTGTCAAGCTAGCCTTCAGCACTTCTTGAAAGTCACCATTATGAAAATAAACTTGACAATGACTGCCAAGGAAATAGGTTAAGAAATAGTGTCTATGAGTGTTTACAGAATGTGTCGTCTGGACTTCAGTAACACAGACAACTTATCCCTAACGGGTCAACTCCAGGGAAACCGGATCAGAGAAACAAAAGCACTGTCAGCCTCAGTGAGCTGTTAAACAAGCAAGCTATACATAATGTAACTGATCACAGCCAGAGACTAGGGAGAAAGCTGCTTCTCCCCAGCACCCTGATCCCCTCAGCTACATCAGAGACCCAGCAGATGACACAGAAACTGCCCTTTCTGGGTAGCTATGGAAACAGGTATTGGAGTCATACTCACGCGTCGTAGTCTTGAACAACCAATCCCACAGACCAGATGGCAGTCAAATACTCATTAACGCCATTGGGGCTGATGTAATGAAGGGAGTCAGGAGAACGTGGGTCACCGTTGGAGCCAGTGAAGTCCACGCCCACCTGCCAAATGACAATTGAAGCCCTTACTAAAGTGATATCAAGGACACCGTGCTCAATGTCCAGGAAAACACATGTTGAATGTTGAGACGCAAAAACATTTATTCCAGAGCCTGCTTCTGCCATCTCCTACCAAGTGCCTGAACCCACGGGTTTTCCCACAGATAAACAATAAAACCCTCACCATGAAGCAACGTGCTGTTCTCATCTTTCTAGATGTCTTAAATCATGAATGATTATACCCATGACTTAGACGTAAGGCTTGGTTTTTGTGTTTGTCTGACTAATGCTTTTGATTATTTACATTAGTTCAGGGTAAGCACTGATGTGTACATATCTGCTTTCTTGCAAGAGGAACAGATCTTATCAACAAGGCCAAAAGCCTCTGGGTGACTGTTGACAACCTGTCTGAGGAGTCCACACTCAACCGACTGTGTCAATTTCACCACAAAGCCAGTCTGGCAGTAAAAGAAAGTGTATTGCAAAATGGAGGGGAAAAAAGCAACATGTTACTGCCTACTTTGAAAAACTCAGTCTGCTACTCACAGTAAAATTCAGCTGACATCCTCCCATGATATAATCAAGGAACGTGCATTCCACTGTAATCTAAAAAACAAACAGTAAACTGAAAATTAAAACTCTCCTATTACACAAGAGAAGCAGAGAGCTCTCTGGTATCTGTTTTTAACCATTTGAAAGTGAACAGTACATGATATAAACATATGATGACTATCCCTGCATGTTGCGCTTAAGGCACCCCCGCACCTTCCCGTCATGAATCAGGAAGATTTTACTTCAAGATGATTATAGCAATGATTAGAATATTAAGAGCCAAAGATGACATACACTCACTGTAAGTTTTAAGAAACTAGTAATGAGTCTAATATGTTGAGAGCTTTAGCAAGTATAATAACAAGATTAAAAAACAAAAAAACAAAAAAATCAAAAACTCCCACATGAAACGTTAGCTATCTTGATTGTGGTGGTGGTTTTATTGGTGTATATACACCTATTAAAATTCATCAAACTGTACATCTGAAATGTGTGTAGTTTTCTGTACAGGAGTCACACCACAATAAAGGTGTTTAAAAAAAACCCCCAAACTCCCGCTTGTTTGTTGTAAGAAATCTCTCGGATTTTTTTTTCCCTTCATACATAACATCTTATCTTGAAATTAGGACCAGGATAGACGTGCTGGGTCAAGCCATTTCCACTAATATGCTGCAAAAATACCAATGTGCCTCATAGGTCCTAAGATAATGAAAAACTTCAATATTCTTTGTCCTGTGCTAAAAAAGTTGTTAAACCTTGGTTGCAAAGTTACTTGAAAGATTTCTTTAAATTTCCTACTCTCTTCTTTGCCCTAAAGCCGCCCAGATGCTCATGTAATTTTCAACTGTACAAACAACATGTCTGTTTGATATACACCATATTGAAAGAAAACTTGTAATGCGACCTCATTACACTGTAAGTAGTTAAGAGCGACTAACCTCACACTGTTTCACACTGATAATCCCTGAATTCTTATAGCTTTTCTTCTTTTGCCTCTTTTTTTCATTTATGCATTCAAATTCAATCTGCAGGAAGAAAAGACAAAATGCTTATTATTACTAGTGAGATAAGAAATGTCAATGTAAATTTAAATGAATGACTCTTTTCTCTTAGAGTCAAATCACCTACTGATGTAGGTCTGTTACAAAATACAGCTTTGAAACAATTACATAGTATGTTAAATATGTGAAATGTTTATCAGTAACATTTCCAAAAAGCACTTCTCAAATTGTCTACCTTTTAAAAAAAGTTTTTTTTTCAGATTAAAAAAATTTTTTTAATTAAATTTTTTTGGGGGGAGGTAATTAGGGTTATTTATTTTTAATGGGAGTACTGAGGTTTGAACCCAGGACCTCATGCATGCTAAGCACATACTCTACCACTGAGCTATATCCACCCCTTTTAAAATTGTGTACCTTTTAAAATAGTTCCTAAGAATAAATTTTGCCTCTGGAGACCATTTCCTTACAAATGTGCCAAGTAATAAAATTTTTCTTTGTAATAAAGGAAATAAAATATTACTCCTAGCTGTTACCTACACAAAATACAAAAACACGCTACTTAGAAAATGTTTTAAAACCTCAGAAAACAGAAACATGTGAAGCCCAACTCTATGGTAAAATATTCAGCAAAGATCATGTCTTTTCACTGGGAGTACGTATTAGAAATAGATCTAGTACATGACATCTTCTCAGTACAGGTCCTGCTCCCAGACAGATGACCATGCTTTCCACCTCCAACCCACCTACCCACGTGGAAGGCGTGGCTCAAGCCATCCTCCTCGGTAACACCAACTCCTGTGCTAGTCTCCTCTGATCTCCATCTGTCTCCTCAAACTTCTCCAACCACATACAGCTTAGTTACATTCTTGGTTAATATTATTCTCAATTGTTTCATTTCATTAATTTTTTTTCATAGCTAGGGTATAATCACTTCTAAGTTATACCTTGAGATTCTCACTGTCCTGCCTAATAATAAGATGAAAGATGCTCCGTGAATACTGGATAAGTCACCTCTTCCGGTTAACAGAAAGCAACGTACCTACTTTAGACAGAGTCATTACTAATTTTCTAAGAGGCAAACATTAAAAAGTACATTTGATGGTGGGGAGGGTATAGCTCAGTGGCAGAGCACATGCTTGGCATGCACGAGGTCCGGGGTTCAATCCTCAGTTCCTCCACACACATTACAAACCCACAAAAAAGTGTTTCAAATAAATTTTTTAAAAAACAGCTTTATTAAAAAATAAAAACTGCATTTGATACAATGATACAAAACAAAATTATATTAAACAAATTCCTTGATGCTTCAGGATCTTGCCAAAGTCTACGTCATTATCATACATATTAATTATTCACTGTTAGAGATACAGAAATGCCCTAAACAGAATGCTCATTGGTAAAAAGCTATATTACTTCATCTCATTTATTCATAGTTTTACAGAGTGTTTACCAAGTGGCAGGCACTGTCCTAGGCACTGAGAACACAGAGGTAAGACACAGCCCTGCTTTTGAAGAACAAGAGAGGGTGAAAATTCAGCTGTAAATATCCTATTTAAAGATCTTTGAAATTTTAAATGGCAGAACTAATGGAAAATAGTGAAAACATGAACAAGCCAACTAAAAGAATGAAATGCGAGGCGTTATCTGGATTGTTGCTCCTCTGATTTCAGTTTGTTATTTTCCAGAATCAGTAAATGACATGCTTTTAGGAGACAGTGAACCAGCACCTAACTGTAAATTACTTTATGGGGCAAGTTCTCTAAGTCCAGCTAACTTGATCCAGCCCTCCCCCGTGAGAGATGAGGCTTTTAAGTGTTGCTGAATTTTGCTGTTGTTTTAATTCAGACTGTTAAAAGCCAACTGAATCTTTGCACTTAAGTCATTAGGTGTGATCTGAAAAGACTTTCCTGCTTTACACAAGCATTTCCATTTCCAGTCCCTGGGCTTTGTGACCAGACTGCTGGAACAGGACTAGAGATCTCTACGTGACCTACTTAAAGTTCTAGTCCCACTATGTTTGTTTAAAACTCATTTCTCCCAGTTATTTAAATCAAATAGCTAATAAGTTTTATTTATTCCTTTAGTATTTAAGTTTTGATCTACAACTATCAGTATCTTGTTTTGGGTCACTTCACTTACATGACTTGGTAGAAAAGACCTTCCCACTGACCATAATCCTTTACCTCTTAAACCTCATGTTTGGATTTTCAAAAGCAAATGCTATATACATGAGCATTCTTCAGGTCTCTAAGGAGGTAATAAATAATTCATATTATTCTAAGTAGCCTATACAGAGAATTAACAACTTATTCAAACTAGAAAAGGTAAATAAGAGAAAGCAACTTGCAAGTTTTGTTTATAAAAGTCTCTGGAATAGTTTTTAGGCACTTTGCCTTAGAGACAGAGAAGTTTCAGAAGCACCCTTAGAAAGACGTGAGGATGCTAACAATAAACTGAATGTAGTTTAGGCAGATAAATGATCTTAAAATTAGTACAATTAGGTCACAGCTTAATATTACATAATTTGAAGTAGCATAACTATGCATTTATCCTTCCCGTGGGCGAAGATAAGTCAGAGGGGAGAGCCACAGGCAGACTGTAAAAGCCAACTTGGGCAATGTCCAAAAGGAGAATGAATGTACACGATTCAAGCCCAGGTATTTGTCTAGTGTTACAGATTTTAACTATTGTGGCCAACAAAATGCCAAAATCTCTAATATGAAGAATTTTGAATCCAACCATAAACATTGTTTAAAGCCAAAGGAAACCAAATCTTTATATATACAAATGTAAAAACTGGCCCCAAATAAGAATTTTGGATCACCCAATTCCTAAACGAACAAAATCCACGGATATCAGAGCATTACATAATGTAGAGTAAAAGCATGAAAAACGATTCGCTTTGCCAAGGGGAAAAAATGAACTAATAAATACAGGGCCCAACCATAAGGTATATGCAAATGACAAAGATGCAACTTACAGGTGAGTTTCTGGAGGCTCCTTTCAGCTTTGTCATGGTGGTTTGAAATGTTCCAATGAGATCATGTGACCCATCATTGTCATAATCATAACACTCTACCTAGAAGTAAGTATAATAAAAATTTGTAAAAATCAATATAATTTTTTTAAAAGGATTGGCTGCAATTAAATGGGACTTACCAAGAAGTGCACTTTTAATTAAAATAAGTGAAAATGTTTACTATGCAGTCCTCCTTGCAGAAGTAGGAACTGACTTAACTAACTTCCCAGAGGAGCAATACTGAAACGCTTTTCAACCCTCGCTAGCTATCCCTGGAATGGGGCTCTAGACTAGCTCACAGACAGATGAGAAACACAAATACTGTTCAAATTCCACATTAAGCAGCGTCCAGTTCCTATACACGCCTTTACCAGTGCTGATAAAGTCAAAAGGGAATTAGACCTTCTTTCTCACCCACTTTTTACCTTGTTATCACTATACAATGGCTAAAGGCCACTGTATGTCTACAGGAAGAAAGGAAGCCAGTATCCTGGGCAGCTAAAAACTGTGTAAGTGTAGATGACTTAGGATTATGGAAAACGTGTTTCCTTAGCTGCAACCTGGTGAGGCGAGGCTTCCCTTAGGAGTTATACATGCTGAAGTCAGCTCTGCAGTGTTCTGAGGAAGAATCTATCATACTGGGACATAATTACGCCTTCCATTTTAAGACAGGGTCAGCTCTAGTTTTAGCTAAGACTCTCATTAAATGCTTGCTCTTTCTTAAAGCAGACAGAAGAAAGTTGAGAGTATTTGATCTCCATGTAGTTTTGTACCAGGTTGACAGATGTAATTAAAGAGCAAATATTCACAAGAATACCTGAACTTTTCACTGAAATGAGAAAAATTAAGGTGGTGAGAACTCTTAGCAAGTAGAGAGTTTTTATTGGTTTCAAACACTTCAGTCACTAACCGATTCCGATCGGTTAACTCTTGCCCTGTATCTCTGACACTCAATTTTTGAAGCCAAAAGAAGATTAATGACCTTAAGAAGTTTTTCTAAAGGAACCAAAATTAAGATAAAGTCAAAAACAATCTTAATATTGTAATAATTTCATTTTTAAGAGTTTTTGTAACTATAGAAAACAGAATGTTATATTTTAGATTTGCATTCAGGAAACTGTAGTTTAAATCTAAGACAAGGTGAAGCCTTAATAAGGTCAAGATTTTATTTAAACAAAACTTAATAGAAGAGCTAAAACTGTTCATGTTTAAACTGCCCGAAACTTCAGGGGATGTAAAAATATTTTTAAAATGTGATTATTAACAATTCACAGTAATTAATAAATAAGAAAAACTCACTGTTGCCCCATTATAGGCAAATGTTAGATGCTAAGGGAAACGTAACATTCATAATGCT